TAAGTGAAAGAAGCCAATGTGAAAAGGCTACATATTGTATGATTCCAACTATATGACATTCTGGAAAAGGCAAAACTGGGGAAACACAAAGTTTAGTAGTTGTCAAGGATGGGGCACAGGAGTGAAGCACAGATTTTAGGGCAATGAAACTATTCCTTATGATACTATCATGGCCAATACCTGTTATTATACATTTGTCCCAACCCACAGAAAGCACAACACAAAGAGTGAACCCTAATGTAATCTATGGACTTTAGTTAATAACATTATGTCACCACAGTAACAAATGTACCTCACTACTTCAAGATGTTAATGATAGGAAGGAATAGGTATGAGAGGCTATATGGGAACTCTCTATACTTTCCACTCAATTGTTCTGGAAACCTAAAACTGCTCTAAAAATAAAGTCTATTAATTAGTTTTAAAAGCAGGAAGGAGGAGAGCTTAAGTCTCAAGTCAGTGAATTGAGAACTACAGATTAGATGCAATTTATTCAATCCAATCAAAAGCAGAATGAATTACAGTGGGAGGACTTTTTTTTTTTTTAAGCCACTATTATATAAAAACTGCAAAACCTTATTTGGATTTAATGTGCTATTGTTTATATTTGTATGCATAACACTCCAAATGTCAGTATTGCAAAATATTATCATTTACAAATAATCAGAAAATCCTTTTCCCCCCCTTTTATTTGCAAGGTGGTAAAGCAAAGCAAAGGAACTGGGGAAAACTGTTTTTCTAACTCAATACCCATTTGTTCCTTTAGGATTTTGTGAGTAATATAATTGCTCCTAAACAAAGCTGGTTGGCACTGAACATCCTTTGAGAGTTTATGCCATTCAATAAGGGTTTATCTCACTATTGCAAAAACGAATCCTTAAAAAGTACAAAAAGATGATATGCTTTAAAGCACACAACTCTTCGTGTCAATTTTTCACTCGTTTTAATAAACAAAGAGGATGAACCATTGCTTACCAAATCAGGAATAGGATTTTTGGCTTCCCTCTTCAATGCTTTTTTTACCCAATTAAAACATAATGACTTCCGGTCATAAAATAAATTAGTAATGGGATAGAATTATAGCATAGTTAATAATAATATTGTAGTGAATATTTGAAAGTTGCTAAAAGAGTAAATCTTAAAAGTCTCATCAAAAGAAAAAAATTGTAACTGGAAACAGACTTATCATGATGATCACCTCACAATATATACAAATATCAAATCATAATTTGTATACCTAAAACTAATATGATGTTAATTATATCACAAAATAATTTTTAATTAAAAAGACATTAATGCTATAAAAAGAGAAATTATTGTTTTATAAAGCCAAGAGAACACCTCATTTGCCCCTCCTACAATGGGTCTTCAACCCAATAATGGAGAGAGAAACACAAAACTTCAGAGCGCAATACAAAGTATAAGTATCAATTGTTCTTTGATACCTAGGGCTCAGAATCTGGGGTGAGCCAATGTTCTCACTTAATCTAGCACCTGCTGCATGTTTCTCCTTTCTAAGGTCTAGATCTATAAAAAATTTGCATCTTCATTGCTAGCCTGTTTACTGAAGCATCAAAGAGTCATGTTCAAGAGAAGGTCCTGTAGGTCCATCGCTAGGTTCAAAACTTGGTTGTACAACTTCCTAGCTGTGTGACCTTAAACAAGTTACCCCAATTATAAGATGCAGAAAAATAAGAGTGTTCCTCTCACAGGATGGTGATAGGCTTAATGAGACAATGTGCACTTAGCATAGAACTAGGTACTTGGTAAGTGCTCAATAAACAAGGGCTGCTGTGATTGGGTCAAGATTCAAACCCAGGAAATCCTCAATTTCTTAATTCTTAACTCCCAAATTCATATTGACCCTCTACTGTCTCTATAGGAGGAGAGAATCCTCTTCACTGAGACACTGATTAATTAGGTCAAGAAAAGGGACCTGGGCAGATGAATAAGTGCCCACAGAAAAGGCCTAGACAAATCAGCATAGAAAAGGTGACTGGGAGCCTCAAAGGCATTCTGCATATCTCCAAAACCAGGATTTTTAAAAATGTAGGTCCCAAATCATCTTATTGCTTATCTTCTATGTGTCCTGACCAGAAGTTTGGACTCCTGGGAAAGACTTTAAGTTCATTTTATGGAGTCCATGGTGTTTGTTTATCAGATTTTCAAGGGGACTCAAGAGAAAAGTGACCTAGTGGGCAGTTTTGCTTCAGGATTAAGTGCACAGGCTTTGGAATCAGACAACTTGGTTTAAATATACTTATTTGCTGTGTTGGCTAGGGCAGGTTACTGATCTCTCTGATCTTCAGTTTCCTCATTCATAAAGTGGAAGCAGAAATAATAATGATCTAGCTGAACCTTGGCAATCCCTAAAGGCCAGTTTTATTGCCCCATATAAACACACCAATAAAAATTAAATCTAAAGACCTATAAATACTAATTATAAAATAAAGCCATAAAATTTTAGAGCTGGAAAAGACTGTAAATCATCCAAATCACTGTTATTTATAAATTATGTACTTATTTTTTAAAATACTGCCTTTACATTTACAGTAGTGATAGGTATCACCCAAAGGAAAACAATACACAAAAACTAATGCAGTAGTAGTATATACAATGTAGCAAGCACCTAATGATATCGGAATGCCTGAAGTCTGGGATTTCATCCTCTTTAATTTAAGAGATCACATGACCTGCCCAAGTAATAGTAGTAGTAGTAGTAGTAGTAGTAGTAGTAATGGTAGCAGCAGCAGCAGTAATAGTAGTAGAGCTACATATTCAGAGATTAGAACACTTAGTTCCATGTAAGACTTTCCCCCAAGTTACATGGGTGGTCAATTCCATTACACAATTTCAATAACTCTTAAACCCTATCACTGCATTATTTCCTCCTACCCAAAGAATTCTTACACACACACACACACACACACACACACACACACAAACACACACACACACACTTATAGCAGCCAAATAATCTACCAGCCACACGCTTGCACCCTCTTCAAAGGCCAGATACAAAATCTAAGTCCTAATTCCAGAAGGCTTGGTCCATAGGGTCCATTCAGGGCAAGTGGGATGGGGCAGGATTAAGAGCTCTACACCAGCAAGAACTCCATCTCCAGCTCAGAACAAGTGGGGGTTCCAAACTAAGCCCTGCTGCTAGTGTGGCCCTGGACTAGTGAATCCCCCCAAGCCTGTTTTCTCATTTGTAAAAAGAACAGCACAAGAGATAATTCTACTGAGTCCCTGTAGCCCCAGGGGCAGAATATTCACTGTTACATCCTCCATGCCCAGGGCAGTACCCAGCACACAGCAGGCACAGACAGCATTGACATGTTCACTGGATAAAGCAGAGGCCTGATTAAAGAAGGCCTGAGATCCAATCAAAATTGGTGGGGCCAATCTATACCTGGGCTCCTAACTTACTCCAACCCAGGGGTCAAGTAGTCCCTGAACCCAGGATGGTCCTGATCACTGACAAAGGAAGAGTCCGTTTAAGGTGCTTCAGGTCACAGTCTCTAGCCTCTGAGGAGCCTCCTCAAGGCACAGTTCTACGTTTATTTCACCCCAAAAGGTTGGCACCTACTGCCCTGCATTTTAAAAAATAAACGGCTCACAAAATGACACCTCAGACACCTGTCTTCTGTAAATCTCCTTTGGTGTGGCTGGAAAAATTCTCACAGTTAGGACCTTAATCTGCCAACGCAACCTGTCTCAGCTGAAAGGTATCTATCACCTACGAAGAAATCTATCCCAGAGACAGGAAAAGTGAAGCGAAACGCAATTCCACTCTCTGCCTTCACGTTATTCCTGATAATCAAAACTAAAAGATGTACTGAACTCTATTTAAATGGATGGGGCCTGGATAAGGATCTCACAACCTGAGATGCTCATCCCCAGGCCACTCTCGTTGGGCCGGAAGGAGCAACTCTCAGGCTCTGAAAAAAAAAAAAAAAAAAAAAAGGTCAAGAGAAAATCATACGCAGAACACAAATTTCATTTCTTCCCCCCACCAAATGGGGAAAAAATGATTTTACAAAAGGTTCCAGAATCTTGAGGAATACATTTAAACTTCTCTTTTCTGATCGAGAACCGAGGACATTCCTTCTCAGACCTTTGAGTGGTTTTTTGGGGGTTTTTTTCCTTCTCAAAGACAGAAGTAAAAAGGAGAGCAAGGGAGCGGAAGGGGGGAAGAGTCAGGATATGTTCTTCTATTTTTAAACACTCGCCCACGGTTTAGAGTAAAGGAACACTGGGGTTCTGGAGCCCCACCCCTATCACCTCCTGTGAAACGCAAGAATCCGGACCTGCATGGGTACCTAAGGTTCCCCATTCTACATTTGGGGCTGATCGGCTGCCAATACTCCAGAGAATCCTGGGCTGAGCAACCGTTCCACCCAGACCTTCTCGCATGCCTTTCGGAGAAGCCGGCGGCCCCAAGCAGACTGGAGCTGCGTGCAGGGAGCCCAGCAGCCCCAAGCCGCCTCTTCCTGAGGGGAGGCAGCGCCCCCTGGACAGGGGATGCTCCATTCCCACGCTGGGCGCCCAAGGGTGAGCACCTCGTCCCCGAGGGAGCCTGAGCCAGAGGCGCGAGGGGGTTCCCACCGGCTGCGGCGCCCCGGGCACCCCGTCCCACTTCCGGGACACCTGTGAGCCGCGCACACCCACCGGGAGCCGGGAGCACCGCTAGCGCTCGGCCATCTCCCGACCGGCCATCTCCCGACCGGTCATCTCCCGACCGGCCACCTCCCGACCGTTTCAGAACGCAAAGGGCTGGGCGCCGGGTCTCTCTCCTCGCCAGAGAGTCAGTCGCTGGCTCGCCCATTTTAGGAACCCCTTCCTGCCTCCCTCACAAGCATCTACGCCTGCCCCTCAGCGCCCCGGGGAGAGAAAACCAGCTGGGCGCCCGGGTGCCCAGACACCCAGCCAGGGCTGAGCGAGCCCGCCGGCCCCTCCCGCCCCGGGCTGCGTCCCCCGCCGGGCTCGGGGACACTCACTCTTGAGCGCGCTGATGAGGGACTTCCCGTCCTTGATGAGCTCCTTGATGAATTTGTTGGTCTTGTCCAGCTCCGCTTCGTGCGACTTCAGCGTCTCTCGGAAGTGCGGGCTGTCCAGGCAGCAGTCGCTGAATTCCAGCGCCGGGAGCCCCATGGTGCCAGAGGGACGCTCAGCCGGGGGGTAGGGGGACTGCCTCCCCGGGAGCCCTCGCGGCCCGCAGCCCCGAGCACGCACGCGGGGAGACCCCGGACAGGCACCCCGGGCGGCCGCTGGCTCCACAGGTGTGGCCGCGGCTCGCCTTCCGCGCGCGACGTCCGCCCGCTAGCACGACTCCCGAGCCCAGCCCGGACCCGGCTGCTGCTACGGCGCGTAACGGAGCGGCAGGCGAGCAGGAAGCGCGGCGGCGGAGCGGCAGCGGCGGCGCCGGGAAGCGAGCGATCCGGAGAGCGAGTGCGGGAGCCGCCTCCCCGCCTCCTCGGCTGGTTCGCTCTCCAGCAGCCTCGAGCGCCCTCTCACAGCAGCCTCAGCCGCCCCGGCCGCGGCTTCGGGCCGCTCGAACCTGCTAGCGATGACCTAATCCCAGCCGGACCAATCAGAAAGCCCGCCTCAGCCTGACCCCCCCGGCCTCTCGCGGACGCCCCGCCCTTCCGCGGCCTTGGCCCAATCATCGGGGTCTGGAGGCGGGGCCTGAGGCAGAGGGCGGGCCACAGTACCGCCTGAGGCTGCAGCGCAAGTCCCGCCCCCTCCCGCCCTCGCCGTGCTGCGGACCCGAACCTAGGTGGTAATTGCTTCAGTGCCCGGGGCCCGCCACCCAGAATCTTGCCCGCTTGCTGCGGTCCGGGTCCTAGTCTGAGATGGTGCATCTGCAAGTCTGGGAAGCGGAGGAGCTAGGCATTCAAGTTTGCATTCAAAATGCAGCCTCGGCCCCGGGAGAACCCCGAGTGCACGGAGCGACTGTCGACCCTAGACACACGCTCCTTCTTCCTGGCAGGCTGAAAATATTTGCATCTTAAAATTACCAGCTCTTCTTGCCTGCAGTCTTCCCGCCCCCTGCAGTTGGTCCCCATCACAGCTACTCCAGCTCAAAACCCGCCCACGGCTGCCCCCAGCTGAAGGATCTAATAGCCTTAGAATTTCAGCCGCCTGTTGTTTTCTTGCTGGGCTTCTAACACAATTTTACATAATTACGCCCACAGCCTGTAGTCCTTCGGTACACGGTGAGCTTCTCGAGGGAAGAAGGGCCGCAATTTTCTGCTGCGCTGTGGCATCCCCAACACCTAGATCAGTGGCTGGCATTTAATAAGATGCTGAGTGCTTACCATGTGCTGTGTATGCTACACTAATTGATAAATATTTGTGGAATAAATGAATGGATCCTCTTAGGTGTCCCTCTCTACCTCCCACACCCACTGCCTCGCCCTGTCGTCCCTGTGTTCCACAATAGAAATCGATTCTGGTAGCTCATTCAGTGCACTTGCCAGGCTGGATCCCAGTGTCTAGTGCTGAATTGTGGCCTCCTAAAGAGAATAGGTGCTATACTTGAATAAATTATTTGTATGCCCAGGATCTAGCTGCCCTCTTTCAGTGTTTGTTTGTTTTGTGTTTGTTTTTTAAATAAGTCTGTTGCGTTCAGGCACTAGGCTAGATGCTAGGGATACAATGATGAATAACAAGAAACTTGACCGCTGCTGGTCAGTGGGAGAGAAAGAAGCAACAAGTGATAGCAAAGTGCATGATAAGTCAGGATAGGGGAAGGCCTTGGGAACATGAGAGGGTTGCTAACTCAGGAGGACAGAGAAGGCACCTATGTTGAGAAAGTAATTGACTGCATACATAAATGAATGGATGTGATCTATTTGCTGGTTGTATCTACACATTTAGACTTAATATAATAGCTCAGGCATGGATATTAACCTCAGCTCCGCCACGAGCTAGCCGTGTGACCTCGGACCATTAACCTGTCCAAGCCTTGGGCTTTTTTAAGTGGAAAATAGGGATGATAATAATACCTACCTCACAGGGCATTTGAGAAGATTAAATAATAGGATGTACATAAATGCTTATTTAAACCACTGTCTGCACTGTAATAGCTGTTTCCTCCAAAAAATAAAATGTTAGTCAAATTAAATGTTGTTGGAAGATAAACTTTGATAAATTCCCTTTTTATAATCTTTTGCTTCCTCTGGCAGATGTTAGATGAAATTGTTGAAAGACTGATTATTTAAATTAATATTGTAAATTGTAGAAATAGATGCTCACATGAAGATAGAACTGGAGGTAGGTTTCCTCCATCGTTCTGGTAAGCAAGGAGGAAACCAAGAGCCTGGGGGTTTTTAGGAACTGGAACACAGATTCAATTCAAAAAGGAAGAGATTTGCTGGTTACTTTAGCGATATCAGGATCTGACTCCTTCCCTGCCCTTTCGATGGAAGTAGTCCCCACTATTAGTCTCCATTGTTCTACATTTTAGGCCCGTGGTCAGAAAACTGTGGCTCACAAGCCACATGCGGCTCTTTGGCCCCTTGAGTGTGACCACAAAATACCACATCCTGGGCGAATCTATTTTGAAGAAGTGTCATTAGAAGAAGTTTAAGTTTAAAAAAATTTGGCTCTCAAAAAAATTTTCAATCGTTGTCCTGTTGATATTTGGCTCTGTTGACTAATGAGTTTGCCGAACACTATATTAGATCCCTGATTGTTTTTATCAGTGTGAGCATAACAATGTTAATTTAGTTTGTTGGCCTGCAATTACATTGTCTCCCTCTCCCCAACTCCCCTCCACTGGAGTGCAAGCTCCCGGGTGGCAAGGATAGTGCTTGTACTATGTGGTCCATGGCTGTATCCCCAGTGCTTAGAATGGTGCCTATACATTGTAAATTCCCAGTAACTATCCCTTGGATGAATGGATGGATGGATTGAAGGATAGGCAGCCTTGGCAGATGGCCAATGCTTCAGGCTTTCCTTAGAAGTATATAAAGGAAAGTGAAGTGATCTTGCAGAAGAAAAGAGAACTAGTAAAGTTTGTAACCACAAACCCAGAACTGAAGTTCTAGACTACATGGACTCAGCATTATTAAGGGAGGAACAAAGTGAATATGTGATAGCTGGGTGACCTCAGGCCAAAAATTTTACACATACACACAGCATAAATATACACATGGAAATACACTATCCACTGAGACCTGGGGTAAATGTTAGAAATTGGTAGGTTGTTTCTTACGTAGGGCACAATTATCTTTCTTCAGTTGGCCTCTGGGTCGCCATCCACACACTACCTCTTGGGTCTCCTTTCTCACTGGCCCCTCCTGCTCAGTTTCCTTTGCTGATTCCTCCTCACTTTCCCAATCTCTGAACACTAGACTATTCCACCTCTGTTCAAACACACGTCATAGATTACTTCAACCTGCCTCATGTCTGCAAATGCCATCTGTACACTAACAACCTACAAATATCTATCCTAGCTTTGACCTCTATTCTGAACTCCAAGTAGGTATACCCATTTGGCTGATGAATACTACCTTTATATACAAATATGCATCTCACCTTTCAAAAGGGACCAGACACATCACATGATTAGAGGCAGTAAGAAAGAGGCAATAATTAGAGCAACTAGGCCAAAGGTACTCTTTGTTAAACTTGAAGAAGGATGCAGATATATATAAAATCAGGAGCCATTATATAATGGGGAGAGCCTATCTGAGAATGAAGCTAATGCAGAGGAAACAAGAGCTGAGAAATGAAGAAACAAGGAGAGAGACCAAGTATTAAAGATATTTTTTGAGAATCAGACCTGGCCATACCTAAAAATAGAATATTATTATACTTCTCAATTATTTGAACCAATAAATTTCCTCTTTTAAGTTTTGGCCACATTTTGTTAGCTTTTCCACAGATAAGAGACATAATTCCATCTCTATTCTTTCTGCTTCATCCACCAACAGAGAATCAATTGTCTAAAGTGTGAACCCTGAGAAAGAAGACACTACTAAGAAAGGTTCCTGGTGACTAACTGGGCTCAAATTTAAAACAACAAAAAACAAAAACCAGAGCCTACACCCTGCCTGGGTGGCTCAGCTAGACTTGAGCATTGTCTCATATACCAAAAGGATACAGGTTCAATCCCACTATAGGAGTGTGTCTCTCTCTCTCTCTCTCTCTGTCTCTCTCTCTCTCTCTCTCTCTCTCTCTCTCTCTCTCTCTCTCTCTCTCTCCTTCTCCATTAAAAAACAAAACAAAACACATTATCAGGTGAGAATTAGAAAATCAGAGCCTAGCAGCCTCTCATACAAACAGAGATCTCTCACACAAACTGCACTTCAGGGAGAGACCTGCACTGAACTGCCTGCCTCTGCACTGATTCTGACATCTGAGCCAGCCCTTATAAAGGAGTTCCTGGAACCCTATTTCAACCAATAGGACTAAGGCTTTCCCTATCCAAATAGATCTGTGCAGCTCCCAACAACCACAGCAGTGCTATTCTGACCAGTCAAGACAGTGCCTTTTGGACAAATCAAACTGTAAGGATTTGGAACGCTTATTTGCATGAGGACCAACCACCCATGGACCAGGGATGGGGACTTTTGTGTATATAAACCAGCTCCCCTCTAGCTCTGAGAACACTTTCCCTCCCACTGAAGATGGAAGACTGTGTCTCCTTGGCTGAGTTGAAATACCATCTGACCAGAACAGAGCGAAGCAGTCCAGAGTAGACTGCCACAGAACAGAGCAGACCAAGGAAGAGCAGAGCTATCTAGCCAGAGAGGGGCCAGATCCCAGGGTTGCCTCACAGCCATGCTGTTTTCACAGCCACTCTGAATCACAAGTCAGCTGTTCCACGGCCAGCTGTATCACAATTGAACTGTTTCACATCAAATAAACTTTCCTTCTTCACCACACCCCAAATTGGGGATTCTTGTTAGCACTGAATTGGCCAACACCAGTGGACAAAAGTCATCGTCATTACTTAGCCAAGCTAGCCTATGAATACAATCCACACTATGCTCAGCATCTGTGCTCAGCATTTTCCAGGTCAGCCTCTGCTCACCTTTCATATCAGCCTCACTCTGTTTCTACTTGGTGCTCTCTCTGTCCCAGAGTTCTAGTCCTCACCTGAACTCATAAACTTCTAACTTGCAAGGTCCCCTAGGCTGTGT